ACACAGCCAGAATCTCTCCCTCCCGTCCCGCTCGGCAGCCTGCACCTTGCTTCCCACCCCACCTCCTCCTCTGTGCGGCTGCTGTGTCTGAACTCCCAAACTAGGCAGATTCTGAGGAACGCGGAAGCACAGTCGGCGTCACCATTCACTCTCTCTGCGAAGCAATTTGAAATAAAATGAGCTAAAACTCAGGCAGCCTGACCCACCCAGACCAACCCCAAACGCAGCCCGCCAGCCCCTCGTCACGGCGTTGGTCCTGGGGAAGCGGACGACGGCCTGCGGGACCGTGCAGGCTGAGCGCAGGACACTCGCACCGGGTCACAACCGATCATCCACCTTTATTTACAAACAGCTTCTCTTGGAGTACATCGGTTGCCACCAAGCGTGGCTGTGTCACTTTGGTGCACTTAGAAACATACACAGTAGTGGTTGTATGGACACACAAGATCTGCTACAGGCGTAACCCACACCATTATCTACACACCAAGAACCCTGTACCTTACTTTCCCGTGATCTCCCATGGCATCTGGCGCAGCCACCACGCCTACGACGACGTTCTGTCACAGACCTCCACCCGGCACCCGGGTTCCTTCACCTACGCACGTGCCAGCACAGAAAGCAGGAGAGCTACACAGGTACCTGTAAGCAGGATCCCCTTCCTCATTTATAAATACCTTCTTTCAAACAGAACAGCACAGTGAGGGCAAATCAGTTAAACAGCTGCAGTCACTCTTTAGTGTTATAAATTAACCACAGGTAGGTAAGTTTTACAATTAAGACAAGAGTAGCTCCAGGAATATTCTCTCTCAGCCTGGGAAAAGCCCAGGAGAACTGGTCTGGATGGGAATGGGACAGAGCCTCTCGACCAAAACTGTACCGGGCAAACTCATTTCTTGTGGTCCTGGAATGCACACAGTGCTGGCGTCTGAGAAATTCACCTTGTGCTCTGGGATGAGGCTGCAAAGCACTGCAAAATTTAAAAAGTCTCGATTTCCGTGTTGTCTGCAAGCTACAGAGGTGCAGCCTCCCCTTGCCAAGAGGGGGAACGGCCCCTCCAGACTGACTGCACCTTTTATTGCTAAAAAAAGAATAAAGCCAAGCACTGCTGAGCGGGAAGCGTTTCGGTCACACAGCCTGGCCTTACCCCCACGTCACCCTGCAAGCTGGGCTACTGGAATCGCATTCTGTCCATCCGTCACACTCTGCTCACAGCCAGCCAGGAAGAGGTAAAACCAGACTGGAAAAGGTTCTGGGATCGTTCTCTCACAGCCAGCCAGGAGACCAGGCTGAAACCGGCGAAACACAGCTTTTATCCGCACTTGCCAGGCTCTGCGAGTTCCGCCACTGCCTTTCGTCATCGCCTCATGGACGCACCCAGCAGGTTCCAGCAGACAGGAAAGCCTCTACACTGCCCTAGTGAGGCCTCATCTAGGGTACTGTGTCCAGTTCTGGGCTCCCCAGTTCAACAAAGATGAAGAGCTACTGGAGAGAGTGCAGCGGA